AAAGATATTTTCAAAAAAATAAAGTAATAAGAAAAAGCTAGATGAAATTTATTATAATACTAATAATAAGAAAATTTCTAAAAATAAATTAAGTACTTAAATATATATATAACTTAAAAGTTATTAATAGAAAGTAAAAAGCTTAATATAATTCTTATAATTAATATAAAGTTAATTCTATAATATAAGGCTTTTAGCGTACTATTTTACTTAATATTTAATTTCAACTTCTAATTTTCACCCTCAGCTTTTAGATCTAGCTAATCAGGCATATAGGGGTGATTAATTATGTAGGGGTAGAGTCTTAACTTGCTCCCTCCTGAGATTGTTCCGTCGCGCCTGCAAGCTCCGCTTGTTCAGCACCGATGGAGCCAGATACGCCAACCTTCTGCCCTGACGATGTTGATCAAAGCAAAAAGAACCGAGACTCTTCGCCTGTCTTTCCACTACTCAACAATGATGAAACAGCGGATGCGCTGTCCTCAGATGCTGCGAGACAAAACCGAGTTGGCGAAGATGACGTGGATGAAGAACCAGCCGTCGCGAAACCTTTTGTTCGAACGTCTAGCCCGGACTCTGCGGCCCGAAATGCCCATGCGTATGACGACAAGGGATTTGACCGCCTCGATCGCAAAATGCACAAGTTCAGCCTTTACGAGACTGCCACCCGATACTACATTGTTGGTGGCGATGTGACGGAACGTCGGTATCGGATACTGAAGATTGAGCGGACAACGGACGACTCAGAGTTGAGCATTACGGATGACAAGATTATTTACAGCCAGAAGGAGATGAACCAACTCCTAGACACTATTGACGATGGCAACAAGGGGACTGGAGGCATCAAGCTTCGGTGCACAACATGGGGCCTCCTCGGATTCATCAAGTTCACAGGACCATACTACATGCTCCTGATCACAAAAAAGAGTACAGTGGCTATGGTTGGTGGACACTACATCTATCAAGTAGATGGTACAGAGCTGGTGCCGCTCACTCCTACCCGGTTCAAGGCCGACGTGAGAAACACAGAGGAGTCCCGCTTCCTGGGGATACTGAACAACCTCGATCTGACGAGGTCATTCTATTACAGCTACTCCTACGACATCACTCGTACTTTGCAGCACAATTTAAACCGGGAGCGAGAGGCTCTCGCCCAAGGGTTGCCCGGTGCCATACATGACTTCAACGGCATGTTCGTATGGAACAGTTACTTACTGCAGCCGGCGATGAAGGCACTGAAAGACCCATTCGACTGGTGCCGTCCCATCATCCACGGATATATTGACCAAGCTGGTAAGCAGACTAGCAATCTCATGTCATGCACCGGTACTGAAATGAAGAACCAGCGCTCTCGATCTACGGACGTACGGCTTATATTACGATAATAGCAAGGCGTTCCCGTTTCTTCGCCGGCGCAAGATTTCTCAAACGAGGAGCCAACGATCTGGTAAGCACCCGTCAAAATAAGTCAGGCTCCATTTGGATGCACAGAAGTAGCCACTGACCTCCGGCGAAGGGGTACGTTGCCAATGATGTCGAAACTGAACAGATAGTCTCAGAGGCTCTTACCACGTCTTTCCATGCACCTGGCCCGAGGCTCTTCTCCAGCCCGCAGTACACGTCCTATGTACAGCATAGAGGAAGCATTCCCCTCTACTGGACGCAAGACAACACAGGCGTGACCCCCAAGCCTCCAATCGAGCTGAACTTGGTGGATCCGTTTTACAGCGCTGCTGCCCTACACTTCGACAATCTCTTTGAGCGGTACGGCGCCCCAATCTACGTCCTCAACTTGGTCAAAGCCAGAGAGAGAACGCCACGAGAGTCAAAGCTCCTGTTGGAGTACACGAATGCGATAAATTACCTCAATCAGTTCTTGCCAGAAAGACGCAAAATAATTCATAAGGCTTGGGACATGAGCAGGGCCGCAAAAAGTCGCGATCAAGACGTAATTGGGACCCTGGAGCGCATTGCCGAAGATGTTGTTGTCACCACCGGATTCTTCCATGACGGTGACGGTAACATCAATCCAACCAGCGTCCAGAATGGAGTGGCCCGAACCAACTGCATCGACTGCCTAGACCGCACAAACGCAGCGCAATTTGTTATTGGGAAAAGGGCACTCGGCCACCAGCTTCATGCTTTGGGAATTCTCGAGGACACATCGATCAATTACGACACCGACGCCGTCAATCTTTTCACGCACATGTATCACGATCATGGTGACACCATAGCTGTTCAGTATGGCGGTTCCCAGCTTGTCAATACAATGGAGACATATCGCAAAATCAATCAATGGACTAGCCATTCTCGCGACATGATTGAGAGTTTCAAACGATACTACAACAACTCATTCCTTGACGGACAGCGCCAGGAGGCCTACAATTTGTTCCTTGGAAACTACATCTTCGCCCAGGGACAGCCAATGTTGTGGGATTTGGCTACCGATTACTACCTCCACCATGCAGATCCCCGCACATGGTCCGAAAAGACTAAACGAGACTACATCGATTGGTTTACACCGGAGAATCTACAGGAGCGCAAATTCCCAGCCTACAGCCCACCCCCTGGCGATGCGAAGAAGATGCCCGTATCCTTTTTTGACGACTATTGGGTTGAGTACTACAGACCGTCCACCCTTTCGTCATTTCTAAAAATGTTTCCGTACAAGATGAATTCTACCATCAAATATATACCGTTCAAATCCACCCAGGACGGTCGATATGACCTGAGCCCTTTCAGAGTGCGCAATGAGACCGACATGGATGCGCATGAGAAAAAAAAGCCGAAGAAGGAGGTGACGATCGTTGATCCGCAGGACTATCGGTCTCCGCCAGATCTAGACGCAGTATCTGTCGTATCAGACCGAACAACAGGCGGTAAAGGGATCTCGATCCACCGCTGGCTGCAGCCGATGCAGGAAAGGGTTGTCGGCCATCATGGAATCATGAAGGAGACACAGGCGGAACCTCAGGGGTCGCCCAAGACGAAGCCTACAGCCCAGGAGAAGACAAAAGCAGCACAATGGACATTCACGAAGGTGGTCAACGAGTCTCTGAACCCGTCAGTCAGTCAACAAGAAGCCGAGGATTATGAGCGGTACATCAGCCACCCACAGAATCTGCCCTTGGTTGTGTCAGCCGAGGCACAGGCTGAGAACCAGTCTGAATATCAGGATTATGTCCAGAGCAGCTGGCAAAGCGACCCGCTTACGCCTGTGGGTGCCGAGGAAGATATCGCTGTCTACACCGAGCTGCTCAAAATTGGAAGCAACCCGCTCACAGTGACAGAGGAGGATGCACAAAAAAAGCGATACAAAGCGTATAGAAAGTGGTTGCGTGGGAAGTCCTTCTTCAAGCAACAGCCTCTGGACTGAAGCCAGTGTTATGCGGCAGCTTGCTGGCCTTTGCCTCCGCATCACTAAATAGATCCGAGAGCCTAGGCTCTACGTCACACAAGGCTGCGAATTGCTGCTGCGGGGATATGCCAGCGGATTTGAATATAGTAGACAGCAATCGCGCCAGGCTGGCCAACGCCACAAAAGCATCTTGCGGCGCCTTGTCCTGCGGCAATCTTTGATTATCCTTCAAATTCAGCCAACACACGCTGACGGCTCTCAGTACCTCATTTGAATGCGCCGGATCTGCAATCCTAGACCAGCAATTCAGCAAGACGGTCGACAGCGCCTGAGAAGCTGCCTGAACACATTCTGGACGAGCAACGATGAAAGGGTCGGACAGAATGGTCGTCAGCATGGACAGCAAATCCTAATCGTATGTAAGTAACGAAATAAAAACAAGCACCATCTGCTTCTGACCTTGACGTGTGGGATGGTGGACGTGCCCAACCTGCGGACGACTGACGAAACCTGCCGTGACAGCACTTCGACAATGCCGGCATAATCAGATGCGTGCCAGTAACCGGCCAAAATGCCTTCCCTGAGCAACCTGACAAGAAAGCGGTTCTTTTGAGAGCCGGTGCTTGAATCTGGAAATTGGGCATCTGCCAACCGCATCACAGCACCGTACGCCGGAACAAGGAGCTGGATCGACTCATCCTCATGTGTCAAGGTCGGCAAGGACAACAAGGAGGGAAAAATGGATTGCTCAAATATTTCACCAAGCCCTGTAGCCCTTAGCATACTGGTAGGGGATCGCTCAAGGAACTCCTGCAGGATAGCAAGGCCCCGCGCCTTATATGCAGTGTCTGTGTCGTCTATGAGACACAGAAGAACTGGGACAAAAAGAGGCCATTTTGTGGCAATAATGTGCTCCTGGACCGTTCGTTACTTGGATGTGTACAGCGCGGACCGTTCCTTTTTTTTTTTCACTTACATCTGAGTGCTCGACAGCCCAGGCGAAGACAGTGATAGCATGTGACTGGGTACTTTTCCATGGTTTCGTGTCTGTGCCACTCGAGAGAGCGCTACCAGTGACCTGATCGTAATCATCGTCACGATAGTAGGCTTGTCTGCCAGCTGAAGTGAGACGGCTGGAGGAGTAACGAGAAAAGATCGGCCGGATAAATCTTTCCAGAACTACTGAGGTGATGAAAGCGGTTTTTCGATGCCCGTCGCCCAGCGCATGATCCAACAGGTCTTTGGCTATCGAGGCCGTTGTCGGCGTCGACCAGTCTTCATGGCCGTCTGCGTACGCCGCCACAGCCAGTAAAATGTCATCGTCAAGGCATAATGAGTGACGCACGACGAGGCTGAGGAGGACGGCTAGGACGTCGTCCACGGGAGCAGCATTGTCAGATGATGGACAACATAGAGGCAGGCCATCCGGGGTTCGCTCGAGGAGCCCCGTGGCATAGTTGGCTAATCTGGCAGCATTTTCAACATCTACAGATCTCCTCTCAATGCGGTCAGTCTGCTTCAGGCAGAGAGATACCCCCTCGATGACCCGGCGTTCCGGCTGCATCAATTTAGTCAAGGTTGCATGCAACCCTTGGCGAGGAAAAGAAACTCACCAAGGTCTCGCATTCGGACAACTCGTTGGCAATGTCAAAGAGAGTATAACGTTGTGGCAGGACTATCGTTGATTGTCAGTCTCTAGCTAGCGTCGTGTGTTTCCTCGGGGGCCATAACCACACACCTTGTGCTATCTTGAATTGGACAGCCGCATTGGGTTGTTGCAACTGAGCAACGAGGGTGCGGAGCATAGCGCCGCCTTCCAAGTAGGGTTGGGCCTGGCCGAGGTACGTGGCTGCCAATTGCAAGGTTCAACAGGGATTAATTTCGTTAGAGAGAACTTGCAAAATGGGTAAAGCCTAAGTGATGGTCACAACCTCCAAGCGAAGGGAGTAGTTGGTCGGGCAGGAACTCGCGGAACTAGGGAGAGGGAGGAAAAAAAGAAGAAAACGGCCTGTGCCTTATTTTAGCGGCGCCGTGTCTATGTTTATAAGGTTAAGAGTGACTAACTATACTTATTTAAGTGTATCTAACTTAAAACCCTTATTAATATCTAATTTATTAGCTTTTTATATTACTTTTTACTACTTATATAAATACTGCTAATATTAATTAATATATTATTATTTATATTCTTATATAGTTAGTATAGCTACTAAAGCTAATTTTACTATATAACTATAAGAATATCTCTTTAATATTAAAGCTTTTATTAATAAAATTAATAATAAAGTTTTCTTTTTAAATTATTTAAAATAAATTAACTATAAAAAAGAGCTTATATTATATTAAATT